ATGATCTGACCGCCAAGTACCAAGTACATTGAAGTATATATATACTTCTATGTATTTCTTGTTCTGTATGACCTGATGAAGCAGTAAACGTGAATAGGCCCTCGGCATATTCGTGTGTTTTCCTGTACTTCCCTCCATTGTTCTACTTGCAGTGTGTGTGTGCGTGTGTGTGTGTCTGTATCTAATTCTCAATATATAAATATACATATATATTCATATATATGTATATACAAGTATGTATATAATATATATAATCAGAATTATTAATCAGCCTAACTATTTGCTCACCTCTATCATCCACCCTTAGGGAACTCTCGAATTTATGACGATGTATAAAATCACCTAAAATAATTTATATTGTGGCAGACAATCCAGAAGAACAAAGTGCGTATCATGAATTATAGGCGGACAATTAACTGAACATATAATCAGGTATAATTTTTACTTTGCATGGGATAAACTCACGATAGAATCAATAGTCACCAGAACTGTTCCGAGATTTCGGTTACTGGATGCCATGTGATTGTCTCAGAAACTATGATATCACAACAGTTGTTTTCTTTGAAAGCTTATTTTTGTTAGCATACAGTAATCCCCTTCAGCAAACATATTTTTTGGTTTCGTTATTGTTCACAGAATTGTCAAAATGCATTTGCATAGCTGTACTCGGGGATTCGTAGGACTATGGGACGTCATCAGTATTAATGCCAAGAACCGCTGTTTTCATGTACATTTCGGTTTATATCAGATACCTTTGAAATAAACTCAAAATCTTAGCTGTTATTTCCTCTCAACAAGGTACTCCTTCACTACAGAAGCTAATGGAAGTTTCGCCTTCTGTTTTATATTTTCATTGCTATAACTGTGTGGATCACAATCCAAAGCAATTTTGCTTACATATAAATATAATGCATTAAAAACAAGAAATTTATATATCTGTATGATATCACATAAACAATTACCCTGTCATTTTTGGTATTTATCTACCGACTCAAATTGGTAGGTCAGATGTCATGCTCAACCGTCATTACTACTTCATCGTCATAAGGTACTGGAAAAGCAGAATATATCACTGGATTGCCAGTCCTGATACTCATTCCCCTAAAAGGGGGAGCTTTGGTGGATGTAGATAGCGAATCCGCCTCCAACCTTACCCTCATGGTCCTTCCGACATAAATGGTAGTTTCACAGCAAAACATCCTCGACAGAGACGAGTTGTGTTAAAGACGTTTCTTGGGGGACTATAATATTGGCCTTAATAATTTAAAGTCACTTAATTAAGCTCTAAGTCTTCGACAGTTCCACTGTAATGGTTAACATTACATTTTGTGGCTTTTTGAAGTGCCTTGCCTAACATTTTTTTTTGCCACCTCTCCCTTGCTTTCCAGGGACCTATCTTGGAAAGATTTGGAGTCAGAAGCCTCTATGAGAGGGAGTCCTGCTGCTCCATGAGAGAGAGACGACTGGCCGAGTGCGGCCTGCTTCTCTCTCGAGAAGCCGATTGAGAACCAGTCTTAGTCCTCACAGGAGTCGCCTGTGAATACGTCTTAATAAGGTGTGTCCGAATTTTTGACATCTATTACAATATATTGGCTTTTGGATGTAAGATTTTACTTGGCCATGTTCGTATCCAGCACTAACAAAGCAAAAGTAAAATAAAATATAGTCCATTTTTCTTCACAAATTCCCGTTCTTCTTAGTCATACAATTAACATCCACTACATCTTGGTCCTTCATGCTCTCGAGAATTTCGCTTTCTTCAAATCGTCCTCAAATCCCTGTGAAAGATTACTCCCTTACAGGTATTAGGGCCAATAAGAATAGTTACTATAACATGAATTTGCATCAGCATAAGTAAATCCTTAATCTGGTAGTTTTATTGTGCTTTCACAAGGAAGCTTCCATCCCACAATACTTAACATTTAAAGACCTTCTTGAAGATAAAGGGGTTCACATTCATAAGTGATTGATTTTCATTCACGCATTTAACACTCTCGAACTTTGAATTTTTAGTAGAGATTTTGAAGAGATCTGGGGCTGTCATTAGTGCAGGGTAAGGTTTCGAACCAAGTACGAACTCTTGGCCCAAGGCCGTTGTCCTGAAGGGATCAAAATCTCTGAACTTTTGGTATCAACCTAAAAGCAATAGCTAAGAAAGAGTATAACAGTTTTCCACAGTTTGCCGCCCCAGTGTAAGCCTGGTTGTGTTCTCCAGTACCAAAGGGGATCGAGTTATGTGTATGACACTTCCTTACAGCAGAACTTGCCGAGGCGATAATTCGGTAATTCAATGGCCATCGCCAAGTGAATATAGGAACCCTTAAGGGAGCTCCGGTAGGGTCAAGAAAATCACATGAAAAAGGAAGAGAAGTCAGAATAATAGTGCACCTAAAGGACGCCCCTGACAACTGGGCCTCACAACCCAAGGGTTAAAGCATGTAAGGTCTGCTCTGAGGTAGAAGAGTGCTGAGGCCTGAGGTAGGGTGCTGACTATGCCTAC